GGAGATACAAAGGCAAGACCAGTTGACAAGTTTGCTATGAACTACTTTTACAAAAAAATGGGGGTAAATCAAGAGACCTGAGATCATCAGTATTAAAAATTAAAAGAATTGAAAAAAATTTCCATGTTACTGTGCATTTCATCAAAATCTCTGACATGGCTAATTCCAGAAATTTCACATCTGACATATGAGTTTGTAAGTTCAGAACACATGTTTTAATTTCCAAGAGTGATGAATTAATGCGAGTTACCTGCCAAACAAATACTAATGGGTTGAAATAAATGACAGTGAAATGTTCATGTCATATAACAAAGGTCAGATATAACAGGGACACAAAAATGTCACACTTTTGGACCCCAAATTTCTGGAATTACCCACATATGAGCTCACAAAATTTGGAAATACATGTGATCATTCGCTTGGTAGATGAAAGTGCACATTACCACCTAAAACCTCAACAACAATTTTTACCTGGCAAAAAAAGATGATGTGGTGTCTTACATAACAAGACAAAGAAATTTGGCATGAAACCACATGGGGACGGTTGGAGCGAGTGACTCCTTATGTGAAACAGCGCCCTCTTGACTTTTTTTTTTAATTTCTGACGGGCTTCTAAAATGAATAGTGTACACTGAACATGTCAGTATGTAGGCATTTAAAATAAAATATAGTCTCACATTCCAAGTTGCTCGAGATGAATTTCACATGGAGCTGTTTTAACTCAGGTCCAGCCTCAAACTCTCAGACTTTCAGTCGGATGAGATGACGGGGAATTTTGAGTCAACCCTGATTCTGGCTCAAACATATCAGGAACCGACTGCGAATCACAGTAATTGTGAAGTGAGTTGATGCTGATGCAGGGGGAAAAAAAACGAATGAGGAGGCCCAAGGAGCCCCAAACGGGACCAAGAGAGGGTGCGATTATCCTAGCAATGGAGGCTCCTTTGGTGGGAGATGCACTTTGATGATTCACAAACGACTACAAACGCATTACGTTTGCACCGCTATCGACAAAATGAACATTGCCCACCAACGTGGTTCTTTTCCACAGATGAGGGGGTGATTCTGTTTAAGGAATAAAGTGGAGGGGGGAATTTAAAGAGCAAGCCACTGGAAGATTGTGGGAGTGGGATGGCGGCACAGCCCCCTTCCCAAAAAGGTGAACATGTTTTTCTATGGGAAATATAAGAGACAAGCAATATGGGGGGGGGGCATTGCCGTACTTCCCAAACTGTGTACAAAGCCCCAGAATTTAGAATTGCCCCTGAGAAAAGTTAAATGAAGAAATTCCCCAAATATTTGCCTCCCCCGGGAATATTTAATTCTCTGGATATGCCCTTACTGCCAGCTACTTTGAATGTAATGATCTGAAAACATAACCATTGACATAACCATTGCGCCAGCACTGAATGCAAAAAGTCAATCGTGACGTAACGGCCAATGTGTTCCAGAACTAGGGAATGTTCAGGTTTAATCAACCTTGTGGGGAGCAATGAAAGACTGTCAGGTATCCTCAGCCCTCCCCTGACTTCCCCTCCGGGAATGAGTTTGGAGATATAGGCCATAAAAACCTGAAGATCAATCTATGGGGGGAGGGGGAGGCAGCTTTGCTTAAAGACATGCCGAGGCGTGCATCACCTGACTGGTCCTGCTAGTCAAATCGCACCCTTGAGGAACATTAGAAAGAAAATGTCAACCACATTACTCAAAACTGCTGTTACCGCCACTCATAAAGCTAAGACAGTGACATAAAAGGTTTCAATATTATCACCCCCTTGTGAATATGAGACAAATGTCCATTACATCATTAGGGTCTCTGGCCTGGATTGGTCCCATAACTCACCAAACCTACGAGCCGTGTTGACTGGATGGCAAGAACAACAGGTTTCAGTTAGCAGTTGCAAAATGGGCTTGATAAATTAAGGGCCGTTGCAAAACATGTACCAGACGCTTAAACTGTAAAGGGTGATTTCCAATATCAAAAATTCTAATATTTCTTCCGACATGTATGTCTACATGGACTTGGTTCCCTTTTTGTGTAGAGCCACTTACGGCATCACTATATAATGTGTACTTTCATAACCATTAGAAAGGTTCTAATACCAGCCTTCGTAGGAAAAATAGGCACTTCAATGAGAAGTCAAATTACAGGAGATCAAATTGCTCCATGAGTACACACATACATGTAGGGCCAAAAAATCACAAAAAATAAAAGTCCAGAGAGGATCGTTTTGAAATCTTGACATGTTTATTTTGTGTATGTAAGTTCCTCATATTTTGTTGCAAAATGCCAAGTGGTTTGGTTTTATGCTTAAAAACTGCGGGTCCTCGGCGTTCGCATTCCCGAGGCTGTCTGGAAGGTCATGACGCGTCACGCGTTTCCGTGGCTTTTCGTATGAACTCGTTTTCAGGAGAGAATTTTCCAAAAAGAATCCGGGCATTCTGATTGGTTGAACTGCATCTTTATGGCATTTTCTGAATAGATCCGAAGATTCCCTTCAGCACACAGAGTGTTAACTGTTGATTCGTTCATTGACGGCGAAGTTACAACATTTTGAAATGTTCAGCATAGTGTTTCAAGAATAAAATCCCCGTTCTTTATCAGAGAACAAGTATTTGCAAATCTGTAATCTTTCATCTTTATCTTCATGTGGTTTGCAAAGTTTGATGATGAGAAGCAGCTCTTAGAAAGCGAAATAAGAAGGACAGGGTTTTGGCAATTTCGCCGAGTGTGGTTGCACATGGTGCAGGGATTAGCAAGGCCCTGTGGTACGGTGTAGTCATGTAATGAACACGTACATTGTACTGTAAATGTACACAGCATGCATGTCTGCCACACGTCGTGCAGCCACGATGCTTGCTATAGTTCTATCCTTTTCGAAGTCCAATTCAGTGACTTGACAATGCGAGGATTCTAAACAAAGGAACCCAGTTAATATTTTAGTGAAACTGAAAGAAGGAATCAAAGGAAGTGTGCATTTTATTGCCATTTGCTACCGTATTGAGCATATCGTGTTTGTCAGAGATAAGCCCCAAACATGCAAAGTCGCCCCATAATGTCATTGTTACTTGGTTCCATATTAGGTGTTCATTACCTTCAGCACCGAGTTCCTATAATAAGGAAACAAAGTCCACTTTCTCAACTTAATATTTTGACCATAAGGAACCATTACTCAATTCTAATAAGCCTAGTTTAGGTAAATTTGGACAATATTTAAGCCATAAAATCACAAATTTCTAACTCGAGTTTGGCAAAAGACAACTGCGAAAGTCAGATCATACCATTTTGTTTCTCGTCTGGTTACCTGACTCAGGCATTTTGGATTCATCAAAACAAATCTCTATCGAGGGCAAGGAACCACACAACATCCTCTAATTTGTCGTCCCTCGAAGCTCTTCGGGGTGGTCATGTACGCTGCCGTTTTACCCCAAAATTTCCCTCAAAAAAACCAAAAGCCCTGTTTTCCTTTTTTTCTGATGTGAAAGAGGACATCAAATTTATTCGTATTTCTAAAACCAAATGTGATATTTGAAAAATTCAAAAAGGTTTTTATTTCTGTTAACTCTCCCTTTCATCCCGTGAACATTTTGAAAACAAAACAGGAAGAATAATTTTGGGCCTAAAGTGCCTAGGAAGACATTGATCAACAGAGACTCCTCTTTCCCAAATGTTGGTTTTTTAAAAACCAATTCTTCAAGAACAGCACACGTTTGTTACGTTGGGTACAGGTAAGATTGAGCAAACAGCAACAGTTCTGCAGACCTGATAATTTATGCATAAACCCTGCCGAGTGTGTGATCACCTACATGTATAGTGTTCATGTGCATACATTCGGACCTCAAGACAATCCTCATCCAGACATCATTAAACTCCAGTGCCATCACGGTCACCGGTTGCCATAGAAACTTCTTACTGAAGCCGAACCGGGCTCTCATGCTATCCGTAAACAGCCTTACTAAATTGATCAATGAGGATTTCGTGGGTAGGATTAACTGCACCCCCCCTCCATCGCCCCGCAAATACAGCATCGGGGCATGATAAATTCAGGATCGAGCAATTTAGAAATGATGTCATAGCAAGATGGCTGGATACAAGGGACCAGAAGGAGCTCACCGGCTGAATCTGTGATCAGTGCCGGATGCGCCTGAATGGTTTTTAAATGAGAACTTGAGCTGGGATAAGAAAATTGAGGGGGTGGTGTGTGTCCTCGGGTGGAGCACTCTGCCACAGCTGCTCCCCAGCACTCAGGGTCAAGTCTCCCCCCCCCAAAAATGAGTTTCTGCCAGGGGCAGAGCAGGCATTACAAAATGGGTGTTGCTCCTTGCAATGGACGATACTCTCTCCAACATAATTACAAGCCTGCTTGTCCGGGTAATAATGTGATTTGATCTTATGCTGAAGTCTCCGTAATAGTCCGGGTATGCATGCACATGACTGCCACTGCCAAACTCTTTCCTCAGCCATGGTCTAATGTGCACTACTGAATCCAGCTCCAACACAGCCTACCCTTCTCTTAAACCGACCCCCGGGAGTTCCAGGGCCTTCAGTCAACTCCACTTTGAGTTTCAAAAATACATCATGCCAACTGATTAAATAAATACGATAAGGTAAATTGATTAGACAAACGCATCAGCTGGCCGGGCTCTAAACTCAAATGTGTAAGACTCGTTGACAGCCAGGAGAGACTCGAACATGGCGAACTCGGAAGAAGGAAAGTATCGCTTTAAACCTGGTTGGCATGCCGTAAATAAACATGGGCTTGGCCTTTCCCTGGATTAAAGGTGAAGCACCTTACAAATTCAAAGAGACTTTGTGACCCAAGTCTAAAAGTGACCAGACTTGATATTGCTTCAAGACTGAACGGCAAATACACTACTCAAAAAAAGTTAAGCACCACTTTTTTCTCAACTTGTAATTTTTTTCCCAGCAATGAAAGGGGTCTAGTTCTTTAATTTTTTTGTTTGTCTAGATGGTGTTCTCATTGGAATAAATATCTTACCTTCCACTTGGATTTGGCGACAAAATTCTTCTTGATCTGCTCACTGACGGACTCGTGGATGTTCTTATCGAGGGCAGTGTTTCCTGATATCCTATCGGATAATTAAACAGAAAAAGGATACGGTAGTGAGCAATTGATAAATGTCATCACTCCACAGCAAGCAGTTGTCAGTTATCGCCTTATGGCAAATTTTTGGCTATAATTCTGAACAACTGGTGAGGAAAAAAATTGCATTTTAATAGCACTGCATGGGTTTGAAATTGGGTTTGGTTTTTTTTTTTTTTCTTTTCACTGAGATGTGACAAAAATAATTGCAAATTATTCTGTTCACCAAATTTCAATTTCCTGGGGCATAAAATTTCAATTTCCTGAAATTGCCACGTTGCCTGGTTGGTAATGACTGTGCCGCAGTTTTCGGACTTTCAAACAAGGGAGGGGGTCGATGTTAATTTGATTCTCGTTTTGTGTAAGCAGCTCGTTTGTTTTTGTTATTTGGCAATAATCAAGTGGCATGTCTCCAATGTAATGAAAATTTGTCAACAAAGAATCACTCCTCAACACACTGATCAACTGTGAAGATGGAAAACAAATTCTGCTCACGGAACAAGCGCTCCCCTGCCGAAAAAGACCAAAATGTTAGCAAAGGGGAGATGTGCTCTGGCCATCCACTGTCAAAGTTCATTCCTTTTTCCAGATCACTGCATAAATGCCATGACAGAAGGGGGAGCTGAAGATTGTCGGGATCATAAAATTAATTTCCTGATGGGTTTCGGATGGCTGGGTTAGCATACGCAATACCATTTAACTTTAATCCATACTGCCAAAGTGTACTGAGGCGTGATATATCCTTGCACAATGCACTTTGTGATAATGGTCTCCATGTACATGCACGGGCTGCGGAAGCAGGGGGGGCAGGAGGGCCAATCCCCCCCCCACTATTTTGACTGGGGACCTGCCCCCCCCTTTACAGGTCCTATAATTGGGTGGGGCTCAATGGATCGAACCTATAATGCCTGATGGTCTAGCCACGGGGCCCCCCACCCACTTTGAAAACTGGTGTGTGTACATGTACATGTACGAGCACCACTCTTAAGATGAAATCACTGAGCAAGTATAAATACTGTATTTGGGCATAGGTAGAAGACGCTTCAGTTCGGGAACATTAACAGTACATGTATGCCATTTATGTCCATGTTCTCATTTGGATGATTCTATAAATGAGGGGTCCAACTTGGGGACATTTTGGTGTCCTGTTACATGTGAAGTCATTCAACTTTTCTTCATGTAAAATTGTAACCACATTATCAAACATTGTGCAGATTGAACAGTATATTGTACAGGTCATAAACAATGTAATCCTGTTTGATCTACAGAATGTGAACAGTACTAATATTAGTTCCATCCAGAAAAGCTTAATGGTTTCACCCGTAACAGAACACCAAAATGTCCCCAAGTTGGACCCCTAGTTTATAGAATCACCCATTTACATAACATGCCAGCTTGCAAAGAAATCATCATGACATTGTAACAGTGGAGAAGTTCAAGAAACAGCCATTTGATTTTCCCTGGTAACCTTGGGCACAAAAATATATCCTGGGCATCAGGCAAAAATTGACTCGACAAATGGGCCCCACTTGGACTGGCCCAGCGGCTCCCAAAGTGGTCGCATTCTAATCTCCGGCAGCAGCTGTAATGTTCAGAGGCAGCCATATTGATGAGGCCAATCAACATAATGAGATAACATATATTTGCCTTTACACAGAATTTCCCTTCTCTGGCAACCTGAATCCATCTTCTCTCAATAAGTTCGTGAAAAAGAGGAAAATGACAGCAATATTTACAGAAGTTCAGGTACCGATTGAGTGAAGAATAACAAGCTGGGAAAAAGAGCAGTCTTTACTTGGCAGGAAAAGTTACAGCTACATGTATCTTGAATTTAAACAAGGCCAATAACCAAGAAAAGGGAGTCCTGCCTAGGACAATGCAGCAGGACACTCAACACATTTCTAGGGGGTTATCTCTGATGATAAATGTATGATGTAAATACCTGTACATGTTTATGCACACTTTTTCTCATCTTCAACCATCCAGTGACAAAAAGGGCCTCTGCTTTGCCTGCTGCTAATTACAATAATCCAATGCAGTTTGGGTACCACAAGGTAACATTATCAGCGGGCTGGCCTAATGGCTCCCAGGGTCCACGGAATGTCCAGCATCTCGGAGGGGCTGCTAGCCAGTTTATCTAGTCCCCGCTGATTAAAAAAGAGGGGGTGGGGGAAGGGTGTGAATATATTGATGATGGCGGGTGCGCGCGTTCCAATTAGTTTTTTCCTAGCAAAAATTGCGCATGATACATGTAGATGCAATGGCTTGTGTGCACATCTGCCATGGCAGCCTCCCACAAAGTCAGTGGTGAACACGGTGATCAGAACAGGAGTAAGATTGGGGAACAGAGAAGAATCGGCAAGGCATCCACCAATGGAGTTGTTGCAATACCAACAATACACAGTGACTTTCCAGAGCTTTTAGTATCTAACAGAGCCAAATTTTCCGCCAATGGTTGTGAAATCTTGTTCACGTCTTTTAGTACCAAGTGCAAGATGGTATTGGTAGCATAGTTAATTTTTTTAGCTCTACAGAAAATTGGTTGAAAGTATTAAAGTGAATCTGATCAGGTTCCATTGTGCATTTCATTTGATAAGAATTTATACAGAAAAACCTGTTACAGCATGTTGTAAAACCACTCATTCAGTTCCACACTCTGAAAGGTTAATATACAAAGTTTAACCACTGCGTGCCAGGCTTCCCAGGACCGGAGGCCCTAGGTTTATACACAAAGCCGGGGTGGCTTGTAACAAAAGGCCGTACTCGGAACAAAAGACCAAGCTGCTGGAAATCGCCAAGATTTTTTCAGTTGTCGATAGCAGAGGTAATCTGTCACTGTTTTGAAACAGTATGCCACTATTTGTGGCATTCAGCGCGAGCGGATTATGACCGGGGACAAAAGCCCTCCAGCACCCCAGTGATGAGTGATACAATACTGCTGCACGCTAAATCTGGCCGCATTTGAAAAGACGCCAGCAGCACACAGGGCCAGTTTCGAGAACAAAAGAAAATTACGTAACAACGCACAATCTGGGCTCTCTGTACAAGGCGGCAGGCCCGGCTGAAATACTCAGGCGTCAATAGATATTGCCGGTCAGATTAGAGTAGCCACCAGACAGTCATTCATGTGGGTGTACATGCCCAGTAAATGAAGTTATGAATTTTTGAAAAATTCTGAAAACGGAAACTCTTGAAAACACCCCAGGGAACTCATTACGCTACTTCAATTTAGACCCAGAAACTAAAGATTCATGCACCCATAGTTTTCCTTCAATAATTACAGTTCTCTTGTTCCATGAGCTCAGCAGGTTCTTTCTGTCTCTCAATACATTTCTCATTCCCTATTCGCTTTCCTTGAGAGGAGTCCCGCTGGTATTTATGACATCATAAATTTTTTTTTCCTGTCATTTCCTGGTCAGGAGTGATTACCCAGGGGTGACTAAAGACACTCAACAGAGGATTTCACAGGTAGCAGAATTAACCGGCGACATCACACTCCACCAATTTTGATCATTCCTTATATGAATTTCCTGAGGTATCAAAACGGTAGAACCAAGGGTCTCATAAGTTCACAACCAATCCACCCCTGGGGAGAGGATCAGGGGAGGTGTTTTATGTGTAGGGTCTTCTATCATCCCAAACTAGTTATTATGCAGTATTAGAACAATCTTAAAGGGTCCGGAAGATGAAGTTTTTCTGCAACAGATGTACAACTTGATTTTCTATTTCAATGTATGAAAACAATCTGACGTCCTTTTGGGAGATAAAAAAGTACAGAAAAGTGCACTTTTGAAAATATTTACCGGTCTACCATTCATGTTTTTGCAGAAAACAGAGGGCTCTGATACTGTGATGTTAATCACTGAAGGCACTACCCAACTGATACGTGGGTTTTTCTGCTCCAACTGAGAACCGAAAATTCCCTCACTCAGAGCAATTCTGAGAAAAGATTGCGCATTGGCTTATTGCCAAGTTCTCACAAGCAATGCATCATCTGAAAAAAAGAAACTTAGAAACAGCAAACTGTAACAAAAGCTCCAGCATATTTTGCACGCGAATCAATGAAACATTCAGATTTCTCCCTGGAGTAACATCAGTTTTACTCATGAACTTGGAAATTCAACATGGCATCAAACTCAAAGAAGCACCTTTAAAATTGGCAAAACCAAAAAAGGACGTGACAAAATGGCATATCAGCAGGGGTTGCAATTAAAAACAACGTTGCATATAACCTTTAATGAAGGAGTCTCTCCACGCCGCTCTACCAAGTAGTTGGTGGCAGGAAAATTGGCGCCAGTAATTCTTTGTGCTGAGGCACACTGCCTACTCAGAGTCTCAAAGGGGTGCTTAAATTGCCAACTTCGAAATACATTATTTCTCAAGCCACAACAGTGTCTTGCAGTTTATAATATGCATGAGGTACGGTAGATTGTGTCATGCTCTTGAACCGGGGCAGGAAGTTATTTCCATTTTCATACAAATTCATCAACAAAGAAAATACCCTTTTTTCCTGCAAAAGATGTCGGTGATAATGACTGCAGAGAGGGGACAGGAGGGCTAAATATTGTATCTTTATTTAAAAAAAAAAAAAACCAAGAATTCTCTTGACCCTTTAACAGCCATCTTTACTTCAAAGTGCAAAATAAAATCCAGGGTCCCTTAACGTCCACCGAAAAATTCTTTGTACCTGGTACTTTTGTGCAGAAAGGGGACCATCAAGTTCCTTCTACACTGACAGCAGCCAGGATACACATCAAGGTTTAAAAGCTATCAAAACTTACGGCTGAGTCAATTCGAGTAATTCACTATTCGAATATTCGACCTTCAATTCAATAGCATATCCAAATATTCGGTCTTACCAACTAGCAGATTGTTGATGAACAAACCATATACAAAATCAGTGGCAATAACACGTGCAATTGTACATTATAATCAATGTATCTTCTCACATCTAGGAGTATCTTCAGCCATGATTTTGGAAAGATTAAAAAGATGAACAATACTTCTTGCCCTGCCAAAAATTTCAATTCCTTTTAAATTCTTTTATGAATAATTTACTGTTTAAATTGTTATAAGATTTCTGTTACTTTTCATTTGGATCTGCTTGAAACAAGCCTCCATAGTGCAGTTTTTCTCATTTAAAACAAAAGAAAATTTTCCCTTCCCCGTCATGAATTTTGCATTTGAATATTGCCAGCTATTCAAATGAACTAGGCTTGTGAGGTACAGTAATTGGATTTTAAGGCTACTCGGTTTCCCGTGAAAAAAATGATGAGGTATTCGGTATAACCAGGTACTGGTGAGCCATTATGGAATCAAAATAACAAGGGGTCACTTGCGTAAGGTTTCTCCTTTTTAATCAGTATCCATCAATGTGAAGAAAATTAGCTACAAGAAAAAGGTATTGGTTTTATCCAATGAACAACCTTGAAACATCAGGTGATAAAAATCCTTCCCCCAATAATCCTTTATACTGCCTGGTATCAGTTTCACAGTTGAAACTGCTTAAAAACCTTCCTTGCAACAAAAGGAATCACTCTTCTTCCCCACGCCCTCCCTCTTTTATCGAAAATGACTTTTTCATCTGCTTACTTCAAACAGCATTACATACCAAGTTGGTAAGTACTGCGGTAGTAAAGCAATGCCAATCGGCATTTTGGGTTCAGAAAAAATATCGAAACTACACGATATTACTGAACTACCAGCCAACGCCAAAATGAACTGTGAAAAAAACTGTTCCTCTGTCCGTGTTCACCCTGTCACTTAGTTGCCGGCAAGTCTTGTGAAAAGACTTGTGAAAGGACATGGGATAGGGTCAACTACAACACTAGTACATATACACACTTCGTCCAATAGCTTTGGCTATGTGGCTGGCATTGATATAAGCCTCTGAAAACAACCACCTTGCAGCAGAATCCATGTCCTATAGACGTACGTGTCAACTGCCAGCCCTAGCCATAACTTGTGGACACAGTCGAGGGGTTAAGGACTCACCATGGATGGGCTATGGCCCGCTGACATGAGAATCTCTCCTTGTGGTCTACCTTCATGAGATGGCTGATGAAATCTTTAGCTGTAGGGGAGAAATGCAACATGTATAACATTACTTTCTGTCATCTCTGTTGACCTGCTGACTACCTTGCTGACTTCATGCTCACAGCTTTCTTCTCGTCCTTTGTGTCAGAACTTTGTCTAAATTTGTAAACTGAGGTTTACATGTACATTGCTTGTATTAAAACAGGGCCCTTTCTGAAACAGCAGTTCCACTGATAAGTATATAACCATGCTTTGTTCATTGACAAATTTATTCTGTGCTAAATTTATCAATATGGCTGTCGTGACGTTTCTACTGAGTACAGAGCCTTCATCACTTTTATAACTCTACCGCGCTGAGATTCTCAGTGTGGGTAGAGTGAATACAATTCAGTACGGTCCTCCAGCCAGGAGCCCGACCAAGTGGCCATGCCTTGCTCATTCAAAAACCTAAGAGGTTCCCCATCTCAACAACATGACAGTGTATCCCTTTCTTTGTCTCAAGCAAAGTCTTACAGTTGTACTCCTAATGGCGGTCAAGTGAGGGAAAACAATCAGCCAGAAAAAACGTCTAATATCAATTTGAAGTATACAGTTTGACAATCGACAGAGGAGCACTGATCATTCAAGATTTCTAAGTCTGAACGACAGTATGCTGGTCTTGCTTCTGAGGAAAGAGGATTTTAAAAAAGCTTTACCTTTAAAGACAACACAAAGAACAAGAGGCTTAGAGGGTAATCTACTAGAGATGAAAAGGTTCGTCAAACTTATTTTGTTTAATGTTAAGAACTACATGATATACACATGTATTTAAAAGCAAGATCGGAGTAAAATATTAATGCAGCGTATTGAAAAGCAGAGTGGTTTAATGATACACGCGAGTGGCTTTTACAATTTTGATATGAATACAAAAATGAGACAAACGCGGGGGAGGGGGGGAAGAATGATCACAGCAGGCTGAGAGAGTCGTACCACCTGATCCCTCTCGGTAGCAGTCAACTGCAATGCTAGGGACACAGAAACTGAAGCAGTGTAAGGTCGGCAATAATTGAGCCGAGACTGGGTCAGAATTGATTTGTTTTGATCTGCTTCTTGTTGTTGTTTGTTTCTCTACTTGTTTACACTCTGGGATGCTCTAATAAGGGCAACCTGTAAACACAGGTTTCCATACAGTGGCCTTGATGCCAAACCAGTCGTGACTTCCGCGCCAGATACAAGATATTGACTGCGACAAGAGCAAACAAAATTGCAAATTGAAAAATAATAACATTTGCTTTCAGGAGAAGGCTGACATCAAGGACTTCCCATAGTGGTGTTGTTTACACTGGATGATAGACATGTACGTGTATTTCCCAAGAATGCTTTCAGATTTAAGAAAAACGAAACAGCAGAAATCTTGAACATTATTCAAAAATTGGTCCAAAAGTCTTCCTTCTCCCCCTCACCCCCTCCCAGGTAAATACCAAGGTTTTAAAGCTCAGAAATTCCTCAGTCAAGGGGCACACTTTTTTCCACAACTGCAACTGTTTTTGTTCTTGTCGACAAAACCAAAACTGCGCCCTCGTAAAGGGTCGCAGTGACAACAAACAAGTCCCCCACCTACGTAATTCACACTATTTCATGATTCAAGATTGCTCCAGGACCAAGCTGGCCTCCCAGCTGGGTTGGCATTTATGAGCTGGTATCAAGTACGGACGCAAACGTGCTGGACAGACAGAACGATTAGGGGGGGGGGGATATCGGTATTCGCTAGCTCCAGTCCCCAGCCCATGTCAGGCTGACATTTATGAGTTGGTGTCAAGTATGGATGCAAATGCGTCCGACAGACAGAACGATGGAGAGGAGGTGTCGGTTTCCCCTTCCACACTTAAACGACACCATTTTATTAATAGGCCTGCCTCACTGCAAAACGCCCACATACAAAAAACAACGGTTTTCCGTTCCCCTCGTCATAAGTAATCATAGACACATGTCCAAACCGAAGACTCAAAACACATTCACTCTTTCCTGATCTTTCTGGGGACTTCAAGATCAGTGGGAGAACGGTGAACAAACAGAGAAAACTCTACAGCAGTTCAGCTTGACTTGGAAGAAAGGAGCACCATTATTTACATACACTGTAGACAGATTTTTGTGAGTGTTATCACGGTATGGGATTTCTCTCAAATGCTCCGATCACATCCTGCATTGGTCCACACATCAATTATATAAATTCTGACATCCAGTCCTTTTTTTTTTGACACGGATGCACACCAATGCATTTTTCCTGCACCACAGAAGACAGAACAAAAGCGGTCGGTTTAGTTTCCTCAGTGGTAAACTGTCTGTGCTTTGTCCACGGGAGAGTGTTACACTATAGGAACTCACAGGAAACACAATGCCTTCTTCTCGATTAAATGGTACGGCAAATCACGACCATTTGCACATTGCACACTGTGAACCGCACCAGTCCCTCACTTTGTCAGTGAGGAACTGGTGTTTCCTGCTTCACTCCGTCGCAGAGTGATGCCATGAGGCAAGGGTTCGCTCAGATCACTCACGCCAAAAAGTATGCCTTGACCCAATTGCAATATTTGTATAAGACTTCGTATGTGACAGGCGGATGTCTCCAAAAACGGAGGATACATACATGTACATGTATATATGCTTTCGATGTTGGCTGCATGAAACCAACCCACGATGACAGACATCGGATGACACACAGAGAAAGATGAAAATCAGAAAGCCAAATTGTTTAACATTTCAACCCGACAGCTGCTACCAGCTTGGCACAGAACATAAGGGGTAGACTGGAACCCAGATCTCATGGGATCATTCTGTGAAATCTCAGTTCTATGGAATTTCTTCCTTCCTTGGGCTCTGCATGGCCAAGCTTGCAAGCAGGCATCATGGATTTAATGCAGTACGAGTATTCGCATGTGAACCTTCACGATTCGTCAAGACCAAAATTTGCTGGGCAATCTCGGACCCCATCCGAAACGGAGGCAGTAATCAATTTAACTGAGGCCCGGAAACATGTAACAGTGAACATTGTATACAGTCACGTTTCCAGACTTCAGTTCATTTTGATTACTGCCTCCACATTGGATGGTGTGCACATCTATGCATTTAGTGATGGCCTTGCTTCTACTCACAAGAGTGCAGGAGGCACCAATGTGGGTGTCTGTTCCACAGATTTAGCTTCATCTACATGCATCAAACTTGTCTACCAACTCAAGTTGGCCTTGCACATAACTGATGTGCTGAACACCCATCCACTCTACACTACAGACTTCAGTCACAGGATGAATGCACATGACCACTGATGTTAAAAGACTGTGAATAATATGCACGACAAAGAAAATACCCCAGTTTGGGGACCCAATTATCTGCTCTTTGCAGAATTAGCCCCTCATTAGCAAGTAGCGGCGAGAGGCCAATGGGTGACTATTTTAATAGGCCAACACACTGATGCTTTATTTACATGAACACCTTCCTAGTGAGCTTGGAATCTGTTATTGTCCCCTCCTGGCTCCCATTAGAAAACCTACGTGGAAACACAGTGTGATGACATCATCGGTACAGAGGTCTCCTGGGTACCTGCCATTTGTGCAAATACCATGGTGGCCATAAAAGTTGGTTCTTCACCACACATGCAGGAAGATCCCCGACCTGACGTGCTGCTCAAACGGGATGTACATGTACTTGTAGCTATGATGTAAAAAAAAGTTTCACATCTCTGTATTGTGGCCCTCTGGGATGGAAAGAAAACAAGCTCTGCACGTCACACACTCAACCTCGAAAGCGAAGATGAAAAACAGAGGGGAACATTATACATGTACCGTACATGTACACGGCATAGCAAAACAAGGACGTACAGTGGTATTGTAGTTTAGGATGTAAATGCTGAATGCGGCAGGTATGCTCTTAATCTTTAACAATGCGCCCTCTATTGACAGTGCTGTAAGTCATTCATAGCTCAACCACATGCCCTTAAAGTGAAGTTGCATTCTTTGGACACGTTCTTTCCTTTGAGTTCACTCAGAATTTTAGTCTTGGCCAGTGCACATTTGGTCTGAGCCCTTCAGCACAGCACAGTACAAAAGAGGCATCGCATAAAAATCTACGTAACAAAAAAAAAAATAAGAACTAACATTCATGTTGCTTCATTCAGAGTTCTATTTGCAGGAACGGACATGACAGCTGGATCGCATCAACCACAAGACGGTCTGCAGATGAGCCCAGATCAAAGATGCCATCCCCGAAACAATCAGACTCGGGTGTCTGCACTGCACAAGAGTTGGGAGGTGACGCCAGATGAATGTTGTCTCCCCCCTCCCCATTCCTCTATGTGCAAGGTATCAGAAAAAAAAATGGAATCTGGGATTTTTTTTTTTCTCCCTGTCAGTATGTTGTGAGAGTCTGACTTTCCCAGTGTTGAATGTGCCACTGTGCAGGAGGCAAATGGCAAATTCATCACCTAAAAAAACTTCATCCATCTTAAATGTAGGCCTGAAAATTTATCTCTATGTACATGTACAGTACATGTACGTACCTGTTAGTGTGTAGCGTCGGCTATTCTGTGAATTACTCAATGCACCATAACTTCCATTAAGTACTTAAGGTCATGTCCAATTTAAATAGACTGTGACTTAAAATGTCACACGATTCTACATGATTCTGGCTGCAGCCAACTCCCATAGAGTCTGATGTAATGTCAAGCTGTCTGTGTGAGTGGAGAGCCCAAGCTACATACTGGCACATTGAGGAATAAATCCTGTGCATTAAAGTAGTTTCTTTCATGCCTGTGCACTTGGAGAGATTTTAACCAGGTTCGCAGAGGCAGGCTATAAGGTTGGGACTTCAGAGTGCTACTCAACCAGCCAGGTGCAGTTCCATTTGTCGCAATGTACTCAAATTTTCTCATCCCGGCCACCCAATGCCAAATCCATCATTCCTCCTGCTGCTGTGATGAAACGGGTTCGGCACATTTGAACAGTAGCAGCAGACTAGGCCGGACCCATCTGACATGTGTAGACATTTCGCCCTGATCGATTCAACATGACCATGCCAGACATGATTAATGAGCATTCAATACACTGTCTGGGGGCCCCTGATGCAGCCTTCTAGTTAATCGATCCTGAAAGCTGGAATGTACTTGGTACTATACAACATGTATCTGAATCATCAGAAACATTGGATAAAATAGTGCACTTACATGTACATGTACATATCTGTGGAACTTGCATGTTTGTCATGTAATGACATTAACTGTCTCTCTCATTTTACTTGTTGGCTAACTTGGCCCCAAAACAGATTGGAAGACACCGGGACTGACCGACACAGCCATCACTAATTCAGTTCTCTGCAGGTGGGCCCGGAGGGTACGCCAATTCTTTCTGAGTTGGTTCTGTTCAAAAACATGATTGATCCCTAAACGTGGCTTGTTCTTGTAAAGATGCCCCTGTTGAGTGGTGCTCAAAATGGAAAAACAACATTTGGCGTATCCAATCCTTTTCGCGTCAAAACACGTTTTAGAGAACCCCACCAACCTAGATCCAATAGCTGATGGGTGTGAAGTCCACAAGGAGTTGTACGAGCTAATATCTGGCCAAACTGCAATGGTCAATTGGGGAACACATCCAGTTCATGCATCCATCTGCACATAAGTCAGACAAGCCCAAAGCATGCCTAAGGTAGGCAATGAGTACAGTGTGCACACTTTTTCCACCTGAAGGTGTACAAACACACTGCCTTTGTAAAAACACGTTGGTGTTGGTACACATGACAGTTCCACTGGAGTGACTTCACCTGAAAGTACGATAACTGTTTTGATGACATTTTCAACCACTGACGGTGCACCTGTACATGAAGCCACAGTGGACACCATATGGAAGTGCAGTGATGACGAACGGATATGTGCTGCTCTATTCACCTGTTCCCTGCACAAATGTGACAGGATTGTACACATTTAGATGAAAATCGGTAGCGCACACAAGGGCCAGCATGTGCACCTGATGTCTCCCTCTGCACTGGGCCCTCATGTGATTGCTCACCACCTTTAAGGGCGCGTTTGTTTAGCATGGGTCTGGATCTCGATTCCCAAAGCCACTTTGCTCTATCCATTATGCAGGTTCTGGTGTCAATGAACCAACACTGGATCGCTGATCGCAATCTGGATCAAACAACCAGGCCCTAAATACTGAAATATTACACAGGATCCTTACATGTGGTGACAATCAGGGAAGTCTACATTTTGAAAGACAGCGGCTGGTTGTTTGTCATCATGCCAGCTGGCCACCCAGCTCTGGACAGATTGAGAGTGAATTAATGTGCATTTCAGTAGCCTGGAACCCAAAAAAAAAGACAGCAAATGCCATAAAAATTGAAAGGTTCAACTGTTTGGGTTTTGAAACTTGCCAACAGATGGTGACCCTCCCCTGTAATAGTTACAATGGTACTGAAGCTACTGTACATGTCATTTACGGTGCCAGCCATCCTGCATTCAAGAAAACCTTATTTCCTGTTATGAAATGCGGACTATCGAACCACCAGTCGGAAGACATGGCCCTGAGAACAATCCGGTTTGACCTGATTCAGTTTAGCCACAAAATGCAGTCACAAGGCAGTTACACAGGGTGGTTTAACAGCTGAAACTGAATTCTGGAAAATGTTCAAAATGGTGAACTCTCTTCCTGCCTTGTCCTTCCTAAGTGCCCTGGATGCTTGTTCAGCGTCAACACTTCAACTCAAACAAGAAGGGACTTTGAAGTCCCACAAGGGAGTATTTTTGGTGCATTGCTTTGTGTTTTGTAATCTGTCTAAGTTGAAGTTGATAACATACAAACCTCAGGCTATCTGGATATGGTGCATCCATAAAGACTGCCTTTTCCCGCACACATTTTAATGCCGGGAAAATTCATTTTGGACAGCATTATCATCCCCAGTATATTGTCCGGTTATCAAATGCTTGTTTGAGTGGACTTTGTAAATTTGTTCATGAGAAGTCCGGAAAAAGATGCGATACCAAACTGAATCAAATTTTTCAATTAATAACAAAATTATAAGAAACTTGAAGAAAAATAGAATCCAGAGTTCCATTTCAATGCATTGTGTAAACGGATTTGTGAAAAGAATGGACACGGTGACAATTTTAATATTAAATGGGTTTGTTTTTCACCACTGCACATGTACATGAACACATCAGTGAAGGACAAAGAGCTATGGGTATACATGTAAACCTTGAGTATAAATTTCATCAAAAAGTAATTTGTGCCAAGTGGAGGTTTAAAATGACGTCCTTCAATCAATTATACTGCTCTTGCTTGTCTGCTGTAAGGTACCCTAATCAAGCTGTGCATAACATACATGTACATGTTTGCCATATACGTCCATGTGTCCTCGGTTTGAACTGCCATTCCGAAATTGATTTACCATCCTTCATCGACATGACGTATAATATCAGCTCAGGAAAACTGTCATCTCTCAGACCAAAATAATCAGGCTATTTTCATCTCCCTCCCCCAACTATTATCGGAGGACGAGCGTAGACCCTATGAGGGTCCAAACTGTCAAAATATCACATGGGAGTCCAACGTACACCCCGCAAAAAAAGATCGATTTATGCCACAGCCTGCTCGTCACCCTGTCACAGAGTGGCCCCCACATGTACAAACAGTGTGAAATATAGTGCGGGATAATAAATGTTGCAGCGGAGTTACAGGCGGCGATGAAAACACGGGCGAGCTTAGCTCACCATTTGAGTGCCACTGAACATTCTTGACCACTGAGGGAAGGGGAGGGGAGGGGGAGTCACCTGATATCCGACACCAGCTCCAAGCAACTGCTGGTGTGATCTCGCTCGGGCATCTATGACACTCATCGGTTACGGCAATGATACCATTTTAATGGGCAGGTTAATGGTCATGCAATAAACAAGAGAGGAGTCTTTTTTTGTTGCGCGAGAGGGGGATCTCACTCTGACAGCCAGATTGAGCGATACTGCAGAGAAGGCAGCTGACGATCTTATCAGCAGTAAATGTCCTACTCGAGTCCATCTGATGCTTTCATTTGCAATTAAAGTATACATTCTTGGGCCCTGACCACGTCAACAGTTTTTTCTCGCTGCCTGGCCTATCTGTGGCCATATGATCTGGTGATGAATTAAAATGTCAAACATGAGCCACTGGCTTTAGGGGATGAAGACGAATGAAACAAAGAGTGACGAGTAAATTCCGAAGGACGGCCTCTCCAATTTTATGTACTTTTTAGGTGGGGTTTAAGGCAGTACCCGTGAGATTCCAGAAGAGGAACAATTTGTTCACTTCCAAGGGCAACGGTTACAGCAGAAATATCTCAAAATGTCAAACTTTTTCCATCCAGAATTCTCCTCTATAGATGCAAAAATGTATCCCCTGCGGCATTTTAATCAATGAGCGACCTCCGTACATGTACCAGGTACATCGTACTTTACAGTTGATTTTAATGATCGGTGTGTACGGAAGGAGAGACAGAGGTTCATCAGGCAAGAATCTGCCTGTAATAGCGCACTACGCAAACACGGTGAAGTGCTTGCAAAGGGCCAGTGTGCAAAAAAATTACCTAACCTCCTCTATTTCAAGAGAGTGTTTTGAACTCTTGATGTTTGTGATATGCAAGCAAACTGTGCAGAATTTTCAACGCCTTTCAAAAATCAACACTACATAATTGTGCATGGGGATAAATAGAGGTGCAAAATGGGCGGCGGAATATCTGTGTACTTTGAGCATAGCTTCAGACCACTAACTTCTGGTGGGGGCCGGAGCCTAAAAAAAAAAAAAAAAATTGGAACTGTCAACTTTGACGACCTTCTTTTTGGACAACTCTACAGGTCCAGGAAATTGAAGTTTGTTGTTTATAATGTCGCCACAATGCAACAAATTCTCTGAGATCTATGGAATTGGACCATTCACATGATTTATCCTTTGACCTTTGTCATTTATTTGTCACAGAGACATTTTCGTGACCTCTATTCACTATAGTGCTTCTAAAGCGGGGTGCATGGAGTGTGCCCAAGGTACTCTGGTAATAGTTTACAATAAGTCACATTTGAGAGAGTGAGTCTGTAGTGTGTCCGACTTGCTTGCCTACGGTTGGAATCAACACGTGTGCCACTGGAAGCCGCTAGCTACATGTAGCTATGGTGACTACAGCTGCTTCCTATTGACTCATGAGCAATTGCCAGCCGTAGCCAAACAATTCAGACACGGCCTGATCCAAGATTTTCTGACTTACCCGAATCTGATATCTCGTCCCAGTAGGGTGAGTCAAACTCGTAGTGGCCGTTCATGATCTGCTGAAATAGAACAGCGTCACTCTCATCATAGAACGGTGGGTAGCCGCATAACCTGGACAGAAAACCCAAAGAGAGAGATGAAAGGAGCAAAAACTGGATCGCATTTTAAGATTTCATTTCTCCACCTACTACAGGACCCTTTGATATCCAATTTATTTCATCTCATTCCTATACTTTTCTTGATTTCTACTGCTAATTTATAAGGTGACTGAATAAGGGAATGAATATATGCTTGGCCGGTTTTAAATGGGCGTTTAAGACCGGCTCGGGAGAATGGACGCAACCAGAGCCGCAGGCAAGGGCATCATCAGCGTTCCTTCCTATTCATAATGCCTTTTTTATCAGAGAGGCAAAAGAAGCCAACGTAATGGATTTCAGACCATTTTGTTCTAAAACTTTACATTCATTTGCTCAAACACCCGTGTCCATTTTATGGTATATCCCTTTTGGAAGCTGTCCAATAGACTCCCCTTCAATGAAATTGGCCCGCACGTGGCACGCTGCATGCACACAGACTCCTGACTAATCAGACCCAATTAAACTGTCTCGTATCCATGTGCCAGTGCATGATTTAAGCAGCGGGCATTATCACTTCTTAGAGGGCATTATCAAATGTTGATACACGGTCACGTGACCAATAGGAATAGAAAACTGTCCCAGGTACATGTATTTATGAATGCTCTGTAATGGAGACATTTGTCACATTGAAGACTATACATGCAACCCTCAGATCAATCTTCCGCACTCACAATATGTAGGTGATGACGCCGATAGACCAAACGTCCACCGCTTTGCCGTAGGGCTTCTGCCTCAGGACCTCGGGGGCCACGTAGCCCGGCGTACCGCACGCCGTGTTCATGTCCCCCGATCCTTCCATCTTGGACAGGCCAAAGTCACTGATCATTATCTTGGAGTCTTCTTGAGGGTTGTAAAAGAGAAGATTCTCAGGCTGAGGGAAAAGAAGAACAAGATATACAACTTTAAAACAACCACTGTAAAATGATCGGGGATTGAGAAACTAAACAGGACCCAAAGTCACAAATTTTATATATAGTGTACACTTTAGAAAGGAGACACCTGGAATTCAAATGGTTTTAGCAGGCCATATTTGGGGGAAGAATTTTAACTTTAAAGTCACTGAATAACCAGTCGAGGGCAAAATATGGGGGGGTGCATGCCAAGTGTGCTGCCCCCTACCCCTCCCGCCCAACAGCTGAATGTTCATCCGATACCATTTTAATAATATACGGTGTACACATGCATACATATACAAACATAGCATTTTGTACACTTGATGAACCTTGGGCTGGACGTGCCTCCTCAAATTTGGACAAAATCTTTGCAAAGCCTCCAGATGGTTTCTTAGATGGTCTGACTCTGAGTAGATTCTTGAGGCAAATTCTCCTCAGGGGGAGAAGGGGGTTCAGGCAATTTCCTTAATTACAGTCACCCGCCTGACTGACAGGCCAATAATCATCCTTCAAGCATTCCAAATCTGCCTGAAGAGCAAACAGTCACAGTGGCAGCAAGTTCTTATTAACATCATATCCCTGGGGACATTTTCATCAGCAAGAAATAACAAATTTATGCACTGCACCTTCTCCCACGGCAACCCACACAGAGCACATGTATGTGTACTCCACTCAGGGACATGAGGTTCTGGCAGGTAACCTGTTTTTTGCTAAGCAAACATTTTCTGAGCTCAGCAGAAATTTATTAGCTTCATAAAATTAGGGCCGCCTTGATGAACGAGGCAATTGAAGAAAATGGTTTACTCAAGAACACAGTCAATATCGCAGCACAAGTACTTTGTGATCCCTCCAATCAGAAGGCACAGAGAACAACTCACAAACAAATTCACTGAACTGATCTTCGGCTGATAACCTACTTGTGTTGAATGAAATGCAAAGTTAGACCCGGCAAGTCATGTGCAAGATGCAAAATTCCATTCAAATGCAAAATTTTACTGAAAGTTCATTTAGGCCTATGCCAGATAAATAATCCCTAACATGAAGTGTGTGTGTGCCCAAAGAGCCATACCTGGGACCAGTTAATTTCGGCCAAGGGTCTTGATCCTGACCACACTGTAAATTTTGTCCTTCTGGATTATGGCCTGACATGGAGGAAGGAACACATGGGCCCCGATAACAAGCATTCCACAATTGTCTACTGTGCATTTCCCTTTAAAGTCTGTAAAGCACGCACTGTCAGTGACACAGTTGAACCCTGAAAAGCACTGAAATTTTCATTTGTTTTCCTTAACGACCATAGTTCAACAGCCCAGCTGGTAGCACAAGACTTAAAAAGCATGTGAAATAGTTTGGGGCATCGTGATAAGTACATGTACCGGTACAATAAAGGCCCGATCACAAGACTTAACGAGACCAACACCAGACCCCCACTCTGAATTCAGGTCACTGGCTTTTCAAATGAACGGTAACAAAAGAACTACTCTTTGCTACTGCTCACTGTTAATACCTGTGATTGGTCTTGTGTCTAGAATTGTGTCTGGACTTGGCAACAACGTTGGCAGATATCCAATTCAGCTTACAATCCTGCATCTGCCAGCCCCCTTATGACCACATGTACCTCTTGTAAGTATAATGTAAAGAAGCTATTTGTGAGGAGGAAAAAACAAACAGGTTGCTGGGTTTGAATGATCCCTTGGAGATGAAGCAGCATCAAGCTGTGAACATAAAATTCATCCCCAGGGAGCTTAAATGGGTTTTTTTTTTATGTGAATGCTGGTGGTGGTTGGGACAGAATAGCAGTAATAATGATGCAGCGCTTTGAAGGCTAACATTGACGGCTAAATGCATGTGCACCTCACCAGCGGATGAAAACGCCTACGTGCATATAACAGAAACTGTGACTCAACTGCGCCCGTCTGACGGGTCGATGTTGCCGAGGGGGGGGTCCAACTCCACTGAGATCAATGTCCCAAATTCAGAGTTCAACTCTCTGCTGGCTACTGAGGCACATGACACTTTCAACGTTTTTGAGGTCAGACCTCCGCTTTGCCGACGATTCAACGAGGGAACGGTCACAGCGGTCACAGCTGGACATCAAGAGATACACTGTACCACGAGGGGCTTAAAAGCCTGGCACTCAATGAGTAGAAGCATGGGGCTCTGGAGCAGCATGTAGTAAGCACAGGTGCTACACAACTTTTATATGGACCTGTGGCACGCTTTCAGAGAAAACCTATCTAGGCCACATAACTGACTCGGCAGGCATTTAGAAGCTTGACCTTGATCTTGACTGAATGAATGCCAAACGAGACCACTGATGGACACTAATTGCATACGATGGCATCAGCTGTTTTCAGCACTAACCTTGACCACTCAATGGCTAATTTCAGGCTATGCAATGGTTTAAAATAAACCAAATTACAATGGAAATTAATGAACAGTAAAACCAACTGGTTTTGGGGGTCCATTTTTCTGCGCCATACACACTACTCACGGGTGAGAAAGAAGTTATAAACAATCACAAATGCTTGCGAATGTATGAAGGCATTCAATCAATGAATTTTTAACATCAGATGAATCCGGGGACCATGGTAATGCTGTCACTGGTCAACTGCAGTGTGCCCAGTACAGATCCTATTCATATCGCTATTGATATCGCTTTGCACAAACAAATGCTGCCTCCATGGCTCAATTCTTCTGGGGGTCTCCAAAGACGGTTGCCACAGCATTCTGCACAGCACAATGCACTGTAATTTTCCAAGTTTTTGAGCAGTATCAAGGAGTATCACGAGATTATTACATGTACATAATTAACATGGTTAAAGATATAGGGAAATTTGTTGGAGCCATAGTGAATAACACACGTCCTTATGAAATGGCCTAAAAGAGTCCTCAAGATTTGCCACCAAGCACTGAATAAAACACTTCACAGAGACTCTACTGTCTCTTCCCTCGAGCCCACGAACACATCTGATTGATGGAGGGCTGATGTGCAATTTCTTATCAGTAATTTTGCCATTTGTATTGAACATTTCATTTCTCAGACCTACGGTGGATTCTTGTATGTTGGCACTAGGAAACAGCCATCTTTAGGCCGGGTTATGAAACAACCAAATGTGTTGGTGAAGCAAATTTGACACCACAATAAGATCTGCAGCAAAATTTTGTTTTGAGTTGACATGCATTCAACCTTGGCAAATTAGCAGCATGAATATTTCATCTGACATCACAAATTTGCATTTTTGCTCTCACACTATTAAAGCATGAACCGACCTTTAGCATGCCCAACATCTGCTGTGCGACAATGTATGCACAGTTTGTCATACTTCTGAGAACAAGCTGCCAATACTCGGATCACTTTTTTTTTTAGACACACGTGCATTGTATTCAACCTAAGTGAGCACATGTGTTAACTATGCTTTACGGCCCTTTTCAGCTGTTTGGATGCGTCAAGGGAAACTGCCGTCGCCTGACACTGCGAGATAGCAAGCGATGCTTCGACACCTACAGAGATTCCCAGGATCCACTGCCTTATGATCCATTCACCTCAAGCTGTTCAATAATGCAGGCCATCTGTCACTCATTCCAACCCCGAGGCAAAAGGAGTTCAATGTTCAGCAGGCCCCCCCCCCCAAATTTTTTTTTAAATTTAAAATGAACCTGTGAATTCCATGTATGAATTTGAGAAATGACGTCCCTAGCCGGAGGCAGACCCTGCAAGCGTGTACAGGTTAGAGGTATGCGTGGTGCCAAACTTTTGTTAGAATGCGCACAAATCTATGAGGTTTGGGTACAAGGCAGCAATAATAATGTTCAGTCTCAACCCGATCTCTCCCTTTCATTTTTACCACTGAGGGGGGGTACGTCCACAAGGTGCCCATACCAAGCCCCCAATGAATTTTCAAAATGTCCATTTCCAACAAAAAAAAAATCACAGCAAATAATGCAGTGGACACACTGTTTGGACATAAGACAAAATAAAACAGACTAAGCACTCTCTCTCTCTATCTTTAGGGCCTATGAAATGCTCTGACTTTTCCCTGATTGGAAAAGGGGAAACTCATATCCCCGATTTCCAAGATGGCCGGGAACCCTGTCAAATGTGCAAACGGGTTGGCAGCTTTGGTACAAGTACATGTACATATATCACTTGTAAATCGTCCATGTAAGTAATTGGACAAAGTGTTATCAGTCTATTAATCCACCCCACTTCCAGTCTCCCTCTCGCTTCCCTACCCCTCCCCCCAACCAGTGATGCAGATTTCAAGAGATGACAACTAACACCTCTGAACTTGTTCTGTTACAATCGATACACAAGCATCCTTAAAGATGTATTTTTGCAGCACACATTCAGGCATTATCCAAAAAGGTGTCATCCTTTCAATCCCCCCCTCCCCAACCAGGTGAGTCTATCCGTTCCAGGTTCAATAAACAGATGGCAGCATTCTGGGAATGTTTCCTTCCTCCTCTCCGAGTTACGGTCCGACTTGCTCCTCCTGCTGCACTGCTATCGGTGAGCCAAACAATGTTAACATCTGCGATAAAAGACCGGCCGTCCACTAACATACGTGGCCCAATTTTCCCTCCCTGAATGCATACTTTAGGAGAGACCTGTCAACAGCCAAGCTAGATTTGAAGGCCATTTCAGGTTCTGGCACCCTAAAACAAGGCTGCTGACAGAGCAGGTAACATTTTGTAGAACTTTTTTTTTCTTTTAAGCTGTTGACTCATCTGAGTTCATTAGTGAAATGCTTGAAGGGGCCAGCTTTTTTTTTTTTTGTTTCCACCTGCGCTCTTCTGCGGACGCCACATACGGCAAAACTGCCTTTGTTACATTTTCCAAGTTCCACAAAATCTAATTTTTCCCGGGACATATCTCGTTTCACACTCAAGCTGGTGTTCCCTGATGGGGAGATGCATCATTGTTGCATTTGTTTGTTGAGATTTGTCAGAGGATGACCTGGAACTGATACCAGAGTGGACAGTCAGTCCCATCGAAAACAGAGAAGCAATACAGTGAGATTTTACAAAAAGAACCAGATCCCTTGCTGAGCTGCCAGCACACCCTCTGAAACAACATTTTCCGACAGGATGCATGCATATTTAAGATGTTGTATGTATATCAAACTCAGGTACATTTGGGCAAGAAGTCCATTCTGACTTAGTTCCTTGACCTCAATTTTTCAAATGCTTCCTTGTTTTAGATATTCAAAAGTTATTAAATTTTGCAATCAGAAGTGTTCAAAATGTTGAAATGAGACAGAAAACTTTAAAGGTAGAGTTACAAACCTAAGTAAAAAAATTTTGTTGATGACATTTCAGTTTGAAACTTCCACAGAAAAGAAGCATCAAAACCTTTTTAAATTGAAAATAGAAGAGAAAAACCTGTTTTTAGCCTTTTTACCATTCACAGATAAGCCTATAAATGCAACCCTCGTTTTAACAAACCGCATCACATGACACTTCTTTACATATTAACACCTGCACATGAAGTTAGCTTATTTATTTCAATAGTGAAACTAAAGTCAAAGATAAATTTTCCAGTATTACACAAAATGATGCAAACATACGTGTGCTGTTCAGTGGGTTCAATGCAGGTAATGTCTGCACCTCTAGAGCTACTGCAGAAGTACCTACATGTACATGTGCTCACGTGGACAAATTGAAGAGGATGTTAACAAATGCCCGTTGTGTACGCATACGACAAATTCCTAATGAAATGCAGAGAATCTCGTGGCTACTTGCTGTTAGCTCGAGTAGAGTTTAACAAGGTGCGACTGGTCACAGGACAGGAAAGTACTCAAGTTCCATCCCCCAACAGTGACATCTTTTCACTGCAGAGGTTTGAGCAAAAGGCGGATACAATACAAGCGTGTACGCATCACCTCAACTTCATATGCGTTATTAAGCACATACTGTACATGTACATACCTTGAGATCTCGGTGAACAATTCCCAGTTCGTGGATGTAATCTGTTGCCTCCAGGACCTGTTTGATAATATTGCTGGCGTCTTTCTCCGTGTAGCTGCCCTTGGCTACTATTCTGTCAAAGAGCTCGCCACCAGTAACCCTGGCAATAAACCACAGAAATGGTACAAGTCAAGGTCACCAAGTGAAAGACGAGTAGACTGCACAAGCAAATTGAAAGAAGTGCTACTCCCTGCAGGTTCCTGTTAGCCTGAAAAAGCCCTTCAAGAAAAGCACAGGCGTTGGATGCAATCACATTGACAACTACATGTACAAAAAGCCTTATTCACACGTCACCACATCTAAAAATGAACATGAATCTAAAAATAAAAATGAAAGCAAAGCATGGAACCCCAAATCTAGAAGTCTATATGGGTCAACCTTATGGCCATGATTTGTCGATCCTTCCTCCATCAGCTTATCCACTTTTCTTTTTAATTCGAGGTTGGGGAAAATTGGTTTGAAGAAGGGAAGAGAAGTTTGAGATTTCCTACAGGATCGACCAACAGCGCAGCACATCTGATCGATCATGAAGATCAACCAATCATGCACGACACATGCTCATGGTAGGATGAGATGCAATTTACCTCTCTGCATATAACACCAACCAACTATGCATAGATGAATTTGAATTTCTTTCCCTAGTTGATATAACGCACATGTCTATATGTGCACCACTGGTTAAGAACAACTCAACAGTGGTACATAAAAGCAAAAAGCAAGCAAGAGGATGCCAATCTGTGGTGGTTGTTCTGTCACTTCACCAGTCCAGTCCTGGTATTTAACATGCAATTCGCGTCAATTTCATTTTCCCCTTGGGCTAGTTCCAGCCCTTCAAAGGGCATCACTAAGCACCAAGCAGATCCCTGGGGGCTAGATCCAATACAAACAGGTACCTGGTACATGTAATCCACAAGGCCCCCCTGACCTGTTGCAGGTGCTGAGATGTATTACAGGGGATAAAATATACTGAAAGAAGAAGATCAAGAGAGTGGCAGAAGAAAGTTTGACGCAAATAGCACTCCCCACTAGCGTCATATGGATAGATCATTGGAGTCTCCATGTATGAATGCATGTTCTGCCTATATGCTATCCCCAGTTGGGACCTTCCCCTCCTTCGGGGCGAATATATTTTCACCGCCGCATTGATATGCCAACAGCATACTAACGAGGCACAAGGCAAACAATTGGTAAGAACTACACGTGCGAATAGTTCACCAACCTGTACAGTGCAGACGAACTGCCATTACCAGTAGTGTACAAATGCACTTTGCAATATCACAGTATACGTACACGGAAATGTTAATTACTTCAGTACTGTGGCATGCTCGGGCCTTTGCTCTTTGTCGAGGCTGAGTGATTTTGTTCATGGAAATGTTCATTTCTTTACAGCACTGTTTCTTAACAATGATACTCACAGGTCTTCGTTTTTCCCCTGCACATTTCAGGTCCCACTCAAAAGTGCCCGTCATGTTTGTTACTACGTGTATATACTAAATGTCCAATAAGTCCAAATCAAATGAAATGTGACGTGTCTACATGTGTGTACAGTAGAAGAGAAGTGAAGGGAGGTTTCATATGTCTGTGACTGTCGTCTGCCCCGAGTTGGACTCAGAGAGCAGCCAGATAAGTCAAGAAGCCACAGGCTGAGAAGAAGTTTTCCCATCAGGTTGACTCATGCGCTGGGCGCAGACACAAAGACTGTAGACTCAAACTAGAATTGTTCATGCATACACAGCATTGCGCCAAACGTGCTTAACGCTCAGCGAGCATATGGTGAGTTCCCACCAAAGGACCTCCACTGCTACATGTACATGTGAAAGTAAACACTACAAACACACCCTCTCTTGGTCCTGCTCAGAGCGGATAACAGCTATACAGACAATTCAACAGCCAGAATAGGCAGCCATTACTGCAGTGTTGCACCTTCGCGTGCATCAAGCTCCTCTTCGATTGATGTGGCAGAGATAATCACTACAAGTTTTGAAGCCCCAAAGCAGTGTAGAGTCTGAAGTAAACAATTGTACTTCCCTGGAGGCACCTCTTCAACTTCCCATTTCGTGTTGTACCTCAACTTTTACATGTAAAACACCTTGATGGTGAACTAAGGATTTTCCAGCTTTAAAAAAAATTGTTTGAAACATCCTGAAAACTGTGAAAATCCTGATGGAAAAAAATCCTGAAATCAGGAAACACCCTGACAAATCTCACCCCGATGAGGTGTTTGCAAATTGCCAAAATGCCAAGTGCACCTGAGTTTAAGAATGCATTGAGAAAGGTATCTGAAAGCAGTGCTACCACAGTAATGGCATCCTTTCAATTTCATGCATCACCTTTGGCAAAAATCAACTGAGCGCAGTGTTTGACAGTGAGTAATTGTGCATGTAACAAGCATCAATGCCAGTTGTCCACTAGGAGCCACACAGTTCAAGCAATTTGGCAAGACTCAACAGTTAGAAGGTGGTACCAGTATATGGTTCCATGTTTAGTACATACAAAATGCTGCTTTCATTACCTGAGCCCAATTTCACAGCATGGCTTAATAGCCAATTTCTGTACCAGCAGAAAGTTGGTCTATTCCACAGAAACAGTAAGCACAGCAAAAGTACGCTTGACCCCATTGGAAAGAGTCACTTGAATCACTGATGTAAAAGTACTGTGTAGAAATCTCCATGCCAGAACCTTTTGCTCTGTGAAAGTAGCAGCACTGGTGTCTGCTAGCTTGAGAGCAACTTTCAGGCTGTTAAACAGCCAATGAAAATGAACCCTTTTGGCAAACTGCTTTTTTTCAGGGACTCAAACAAGTCTTCCCGTGTTTTTACAATGACAAGGGAGTGCCCATGAGCTGCAGAGCGTGGGGGCAGGGAACCAACAGTGTGGTCTATGAAGCTTGACAAGGCCAAATCCCAGGGTTCTGGTTCTTGATTATGCATTTGAATGCATTTAATGTACCACAACACTAATGTGAGCAGACAACGTCCATTTCCATGGCGACGCACAGTCCAACGATAAATCAAGCTCCCAGAAAAAAAGTACAATACACTGAACATCTGAAAGCACATAATGTGCCAAAACATCAGTCTTCGAAATCCATGGCAACGGCGGCAAATATCATGGCTGCCTGATGCGACAAGGTACAAATGGGATGAATAAATAAACCATGGCCCGAATTTCATTAAAATGTATGAACCCCTGCCAAGTTACACCAGACTGCTTCTTTTTTTTTCTTTACCAGAGTCTGTAAGGTGCATACAGGGAATACTGGCGGCCGGCTTGGAGACAGGATCATCCACAACAGCCACACTGAGTTACAGACATCAAGTCAGGATATTAATTGCTGACCATTTTTGCATGAGGAGGAAGTCCTGCACTGGATAATTAGAACTCCAGCCTAAATCTCAGAACTGCACACCTGCTTGAGATAGTAAGACAGAAGACAGCAAGATGAGCGAGCTGCGCAGCCTAATTTTCTAGGGCAGGAAGGGAACAGGTGAAACTAGGGAAGCGGTGGATGCATGGACTTTGTTGCCAACACTTTTATGATTTGCATGCCCCACATCAAGTAATTTAGTAGAGGCTTTTTCTGAGGGGTACGCTCTTACATCCGTCATCCCAGGCCCCCCTCCTCCCCAAAAACACTGAGGCCAGCTGATTTCTGATGAATGGAGCCGATAGAGAGATATGTCATCACGATCTGAGTCTACACTTTCTCTTGTATCTGTTGTTCACTTTCCCAATCATGCCAGGAGCAAACTGGGCCAAGATCATAACCCAAACGCCCCTGCTCCGTTAACATACAGGAAACCAACGACATATTCAGCATGCTCTGGACAAACTTTGGCACAGTACATCAAGGCCCACCTACAACTAAAAGTAGCAGGCTCTACTTTCCTGGATTCTGCCACATTGTTTTGGACATTCTGGTACATGTAAGATCTTCAGGAATGCGGGAATGATTCTTGACGGGAACAGGTTTAGCATGTCTATCTCGCACCTCGGCCTCTACCATTCGGCTGTACAAGCGGTATAAACAAGGTTTTGATTTCAAGAACGTCACCCAACACTTGTGCACATTCTGTCCATGGAACGCCACACCAGGAATACCGACTGCATTCCCGGAAGACTTTGACTTTACACTTGATCCAGGCAAGGGAACCTAGAAGGTGTCAAAACTACTTAGGCAGAGCTCCAACTCAGCACTCGCCCCAGCGAATGTGAAAGTGCTTAAAGGAGGGGGGGGGAGATAAATGCCAAAAGAGCGACTGACTGGCTGAAACTGATTGCAAAGGCAGATCCAGCACCAAGCTTCGGAGGGGGAGGGGAAACAAAACCAAAAAATTGGCTCTCTCCACTGATAGAGTTAGGGAAGGGTCCATGGCCCCTTTGGCCCCCGTCCCCTGGATTCGCCCAGGCTTCCAAGCGAGCCAACTAACGGATCGAGTGACTGGATCACAGATTGATTGATGGAAAAGTCAGTTGTAGCTAAAACAAAAGTGAATAGTTGACAGCCTGACCGAAGTGACTGGTCATGTATCCTAACCCAGTGATTGACAAATCAACTGACTGACCAAACGATTTTCACTGACTACTTTGTCGATTGACTGACTGTGGCTGCATGTACATGTATAACCGGCCATGGTTTGGAGCAGATTCTGCCAATGGAACCCCCATTTACATGTATGTAACATAAACTGTACGCTGAATACTAACAGCCGGCCAAATTCAAGCTTCAAGGGATGGCTTTGCTTTAAAAATCAGGTAAGCAATTTTTTCTGTAACAGTTCCACATACCAGTGGTGTACATTGTAGATGTGTTAAAAAAATTAGTTCAGGATAAACCTACACCAAAAGTACTCTTTTCTCCTTAAAACTGAAATCTTTAACAAAACTGTGATAGAGGCCTTAAATTTGTTCTGTGAGCTTAGCATTCTGCTTTCACCATCAAATGTCCACATTTTCAAGATCTGTTGACAGACAGATTTAATATTTGGCAGTTAACATGGTAAGCAAAAATTACCCAACAGCTGACAAAAACTGACTAGTGGCTTTAGTGACAAAAGCAATGGTTATTTCACAAGTTAGTTCCTCCACACATTAAATTAA